AGGAGCGTCCAGAACAAGTCTGGCCCACTCATACTACCTGGACTACCTACCTTTGAGCCCTGGGCAACTGGAAGACCTCTTGCCACACAGAGAATAGCCCCTTGCGCTGATCCTTCAGGCCAACATGGGTGGTCTGCACATCCCTCACGCTCAGCTCCCGCCGGCCCCTCCCATACAGAAACTGGACAAAGGGAGAAGTAAGCAGCAGCCTCCTCACCCCACCCTGCCCCACCCGAGCCACAGCCCCACCTGTAGGGTGTTGATACAGGCACGGATGTCGTTGTCAGTCTTCTCACAGAGAGCAGTTAGTGCCCCCGGGTCAGACCGCATGCCATGTTGTAGTGAGATCTAAAGGGGGGCAGGGGAGGACACTAGAGCGTCTACCACGGCTGAGAGGACCCATGTCCAGTCTAACGCATCCTCAGAGCCAACCCTGTGGCCACAACCTGGTCCCCTGGACACTGTAAGCAGTCCTGGGCTGGGACAGCCGGAAAGTGCAGTGCAGTTCCTACCGTAGGCCTACACTACAACCTGACGGCTCAACGCCACAGCCAGTGTGGGAACACCAGGGCACTCAGGGGGAAGGAACATGGGAAGGCGGGTCAGGACAGAGGCTGCATCTCACACTGGGCGCTGTCCTCCTCCCTGCCCCGCTGACCTCCTGAAGTCGCTGCACCAGCCTGGAGGGTAGAGTTGGAGGAACGTGGAGCAGAAAAGCCTGCTGCTTCAGCTGCCTCAGGGAAGGTGTAAACCTGTAGGACACAACCTGCAGTCACCACACCAGGGACAGGCACGGGGGCTAAGCCAGGGGATCCTTCTGCCCAGGGAGGCCCAGTCCCACTGCCGCACTGACTGGTCATTGCAGATGCAGATGATGGGCCTTGTTAGGAGGCCCCCCTCGGCCCTGCGTCGCCGACCCCCTGCAGGAGCAGCTGTGCCGCCTTGCTCTGCCTCCTGTGGACCCTTGCGATTCAGGATACTCAAGAGAACATTGATGGCTGCCTTCAGGGAGGCACAGAAGACGTCAGTGAGCCAGAGCCCCAGTGCAACCAACATGCCTTCCTAGGCACCCACCTAAGCAGCAGGGAGGCCTACCGTGGGGGCCCCATCGATTTCATCAATAACCAGGCAGTTGGGTCTCCCACCCACACCCAGCACCGACTCCATTTGCGTAGCTGCTTCAATGCGTGTACGGAAGGCCTCAGGACTGCGGTCATCACTGGAACAGCAAGGCCAAGACAGAGCTATAGATAGCAGCCAGCATCCCAGCAGGATGCCAAGGCTCCCACTGGATGTAGCTACCACCAAGCTCAGCAAGCCCTGAAGGATACGTCCCAACCCCAGCCCAGCCACCAGCCAGGGTCTTAGAGCCGCAGCACAGGCTCAACCTCATGGAAGCCCAGACTTGGGTCTCCTCCACTCACCTCGCGTTCATCTCAACCACGCAATACCCTGCGTGCCGTGCAACCACGTGTGCCAGTGTGGTCTTGCCTAGTCCTGGAGGGCCACACAGCAGTGCCACCTACAGTTAGAGGACAGACCGCTGATCCCTTAGCCTCCAGGGGACCCCCGGCTAGTAGCCAGGGACTAGAAACAAGGCTGCTCCCCACACTCCAGCCACCAGAGTACTCAGAGTAAGAGAAATCCCTGAGGAAGCAAATTATGTGGGCACTCGACAGGAATGCCAAGACCAACCCAGTGTGCCCGTGCCCCTTTCCCACTGCCCATCATACTGTTGGTGAGGCACTGAGCCTTCAAGAAGCGCTGGCTTTATCCAAACCCTTAGGAGAATGGATTCAACTTCAAATTCACAACATTGGCACTTGATGCCAAACCTGATGTTACTGTACCCACAGACTCCAGGAAAGTTATGGATGCCTCATGGACCCCCAAGTCTATTGCAATAGCGCTGGCTACCCAGAGGGCACAGCCCCGGGCTCAGCTATGCTCACACAGGTTCAGGTGGGGTTTACCTTCTGCCGGGGCCTCCGGCTCGGGTCCAGCTCAGCTTCTAACATCTCCTCCAGCACCTGCTCATGACTTTTCCACTTGCCAGGGGCTGTGGCCTCCTTCCCAACCCGGGCTGGCTCCAGACTGGGCCTGGCCTTCCGGGCAGGCCTCTCGTGGCCAAACACCACAAGGTCCCACAGCTTCAGCCACTTGAGGAGGCAGCGGTTGGTGAACTGTTAAGAAAAAAGCTTAAGGGAAGAGACCCTGCCAAGCCCACATTTTCAATAGAGACAGGGACATTGAGGTTCAAAAGGAAGACCCAGGCTCACTAAGGCCTCCATCTCTTAGCCCGGGCCCAACCCACCACCAACTGCTGAGGGTGAGCAAAAGGGCAGGCTAGGACAGCAATCCTCAACTTGTGGGTCATGACCCCTTTGGGGGTTGAACGGCCCTTTCATAGGGGTTGCCCAAGACCATCAAGAAACACATATTTACATTATGATTTATAACAGCAAAATTATAGGTATGAAGTAGCAGTGAAAATAATTTTATGGTTGGGGGGGTCCCCACAACATGAGGAACTGTATTAAAGGGTTGCAGCATTAGGAAGGTGAGGACCATGGGGCTAGGACATCGACCTCTAACAGCAGGTCACAGTCAACTAGCAGTAAGCCAGTTTTGTGCTGACTCGGTTTCCCCATTACCACTCAGAGTCCCCACATCATCCTTAGCACCCAGTGGCCAAGCACCACAGCCATCAACTGAATCTGACCCTTTCCCTCATGCTGTTAAGGCAAGCTAGACACATTTAAGTGAGAACAAGAAGAGCTCACGTCATCGCTGAGCAGCTCCGTGTAGTGCTGGGGTGCAAACTCATCCACCCAGAGACAGTGCTGAGTAGTGTCCTGGCCAGACGCTGGCTCTTCCTCAGGGGTCCCTTCCAGAAGAGCCTCTACCCTTTCAGACCCGAGGCTGCAGAGAATCAAGTTCTGATTCACAGTCACAGTCAACTAGGGGTCCCAGTGACCGTCCACCATACATGCCAGAAGATCAGTCCAAGAACAAATGGGGTGCCTGGGGTGGGAAGTATGCAAATCACCTATGTAGAGTGTCTGAGAGCTCTTGGGCCTCCTCAAGCTGTTGCTGCCGTCGCTGTACAAACAGGATAGGCTGGCATCAGGACAAGTCCAGCCAGCACCTGGACACAATACACATAGCTCCCCACACTCCACTAAACTCACCACGTTGTCAACCTGCTCCTTCAAGGAAGTGAAGGGAACACCCAGCAGGTCCAGCTGGCCACGGCCTCGCCACTGGACATTCAGAGCAGGGTTCTGGGAGAGACAGGTTTGTCATCTCTGTAACCTTCCCAGGTCATGGGAGCACCCACAATGCCCTTCCCCAAAGAGGCTGACAGAGAGGGAGAGACGAAAGCATGCCTAATCAGAGAGGAAAGGCCTCACGTGGATAGGCCAGGTCCAAGGGAGGTCAGTTGTAGGGTGGGGCAAGAGAAACAGAGGAGGAGAAAACTAACAGCTGGGGTACCGGGTGGCACGCTAATGTCACATACTCCCAAAGTAACACTGCTGTTCCCAGCATTGGACTACCTGGGCATGCCAAATTCTAGCAATTCAGTCAGGTGAAACCGGCACCAGAACCTGCTGAACGCCCACTGGCAACATAAAGGAACCAATGCTATGACTAGCCCCGTGCTGCGGTCACACACCTGCACCCCAGTGCCTGCGAGGTCAGCCCGAAGCACCAGAAAGGCTCGCTCTCCACCTGTGGAGGTCACATTGATGTAATCCTCTAAGACAGGGGGACGTCTCAGGACAGGGTTGCGGGGACTTGGCAAAGCCTGCATGGTGCCTTTGTCAGCACTAGCGTCTGAGGGCCTAGGAAGGACAGGCATCTCCAGTCACCCTCAATGGGGAGCCTGGACCCACACTCACCCCTCTGCTCTCCCATAGGCTTCACTCCCAGTGCCTCATCCAGAAACAAGCAGCTTTCCAAGGTATAAATCACATTCCCTCAAGCAACACACCCAGGATCCAACATCTCAGGGAAGACCTCAGGACTCGGTGGGGGGGTGATGTCCCCTGGAGGGGAATCAGGATACAGGAGCTCCTCCATATCTGGCTCAAAGTTCAGCTTCTTCACCACCTCCAGCCTGGGTCGTTTGATCATGGGGCCTGCTGAGACAGAGGCAGGAAGAGGAGGCAGAGAAGAGAAAGCTGGTCCTCAACATCCCCTACCCGTGTGCCCTGTACCCAACTAGACATACTGGAGGGCCCAGGCCGGTCCCTACGAACATTCTTTCTGGTATTGCGGCAGTCATTTGCTGGAGACCGGACAGGGCAGGGACGCGGGGCAGTGTCCCCACCAGCAATGGCCTCTTCAAACGTCAATGGGGGACGGCTCGCTGGAGTCTGGAGGTTCCCAGAGGGTGCCAGGTCCTGTGTCCCTGCTGAGACAGAGGTTCACAGCAGTCGCACACTGCAAGAAGCGTATCCCAGCCACTGCTTATCCCATCCACGCAGCTCTCCACACCGCCAGGAGGATGCAGCCACGACCTGGCCGAGACCCAGGACCCGCACCCACCTTCCAGCTCCGCCAGCACTTCGAGCTCGGCCGCGAACTGGCTGTGGAAGTCATCCTCCACACCGTACAGATCCTCCTCGTAGTCTTCCATGGCCTCCAGCGTAGCCAGACCGCAGCTCCCACAGCTAACTCACCCTCAGAACTTCCCGCGCCACTGCTACTGCGCGCCACTCCCCGCGAACCTTCAGTACCGCCAATCAACAGCAGCCGTTCCCAGAGGCGCCCGCCATTGGCCAAGGGGGCAGGGCGGGTCTTCTTACGCAAAGGGCGGGAGGAGAGGAATAATAAGTTCAGTGGTGGAAGCGGAGGACCAAGAATACTTTTTATTGGCCTATACAGCCATCTGTATTTCCCGGGAGGCGGGGGAAATAGGTGGGGCTATGAAGGTGCGTGCGCAAACTGTCTGGGCGGGGCCTCACTATCCTTCAATGGGCGGAGTTCCTGAGCAGGAATGCCATTGGCCAGTATGGCCATCCATCAGCAGGTAGAGTGGGCAGGGTGAAGGCGGGGCTGCACGCCAGCAGGCCAAGACCTGGTTAGTATAATAGGGAAGCTCGGTTGGATGCAGGACTGAGCAGTGACATTCTGGCCCCTTGATCCTTTTGCAGGTAAGTCCTAAAGGGTCCGCTTGTGGTCACAGGCTGGTGGAAGGCAAGTTAGGGAGCGCCTGCAGTTCTGGGTGGTCCAGGGCCAATAGGGAGCTGCACCCGCAGTCCTCTTCCTTGCCTGCTCAGGGAAAGTTCATAACCTAGGTGTAGGGCTGAACTGGACAACCAGGCTGTTAATTCCAAGTCCGGATCAGGGAGAGCTCCCCTCAACCTGAGTTCAGGGCAAGTCAGAATCTGACCTTGGCTAGACTCCCAACACCCCAGCTTGTCCCCTTATGGAAGGCATGAAGGGTTCCAAGCAGGTACTGGTACCCAGTAAGTCAGGCACCCTCCCACTCCAGGTTCACTCCCACCTGCGTGCAGCCCCACCATGGAGCCTGGCAGCATTGAAAATCTGTCCATCGTGTACCAGAGCAGCGACTTCCTGGTGGTGAACAAGCATTGGGATCTACGCATTGATAGCAAGACCTGGCGGGAGACCCTAACCCTACAGAAGCAACTATGCCACCGCTTCCCAGAACTGGCTGACCCTGACACCTGCTATGGGTTCAGGTACACAGCCAACACAGAGAGCCCCACTACAGCATCCTCCCAAAGGTTTCTGGGACCCTGGACTCTGCCGCAAAGGTGCTGGCCAGAACACAACAGGGTCCAGCCACTGCTGCCTCTCTGCCCTTCCCAGGTTCTGCCACCAATTGGACTTCTCCACCAGTGGGGCTCTGTGTGTGGCCCTGAACAAAGCAGCTGCGGGCAGCGCTTATAAATGCTTCAAGGAACGGCGAGTCACCAAAGCCTACCTTGCGCTGGTAAGGCCTGGCCAGTTCCTAAGATGTATACAGTATGGGGACACAAGGCTCCTAGCCTACCCCAGCATGTCCCTCTAACCCAAGCTCCGTGTCAGAGGTGGCAGTGTTGTCCTGTCCTTGCTTGACAGGTCCGGGGCCATGTCCGGGAAAGCCAGGTGACAATCAACTATGCCATTGGCAGGAACAGTACAGAGGGGCGAACCCACACCATGTGCATCGAGGGCACACACGGTATAGTGGTTGGGATGGGAGCCATGGTCATGTCTCCAGCCTGCACCCTGCATGGATGTGAACAGCCAGACAAGTGTGGATTGGAGTTGGCTCAAGCCCTAGGGCTAGCTCAGCTGACCCCCATGTTTGCCTTTGCATACAGGTTGTGAGAACCCTAAGCCAAGTCTCACAGAGCTGTTGGTCCTGGAACATGGACTATATGCTGGAGACCCTGTGTCCAAGGTGCTGCTGAAACCACTCACAGGTATGTCCAGGGCAGGGGAGGGCAGGAATCTGGTCATACAAGAAAGGACCTTGATCTGGGCGGTGGTGGCACACACCTTTAATCCCTAGCACTCAGAAGGCAGAGGCAAATGAATCTCTGTGAGTTCGAGACAAGCCTGGTCTACAGAGCATGTTCCAGGACAGGCTCCAAAGCTGCAGAGAAAGCCTGCCCCCCCAAAAAAGGAGGGGGGCGCGTGCACCACCACCTGGTAGGAGATTTTCTCTTTAAAAAAGAAGATGGGGCAAACAAGGTGTGGTGGCATAGACATGTAATTCCAGCACCGAAGGTAGAGGCAGAAAGGTCAGACTTCATGCCCATCTTTGGCTATATATGGAGTTGAAAGCCAACCTGGTCTACATGAGTCTTGGTCTCAAGAAAAAAAAGAAAAGGGCCAATGAGATGGCTCAGCAGATGAAGGGGCCTGCCACCAAGCCTGACAACCTGAGTTTGATCCCCAGACCATCACGGCAGAAGGAGAGAAGTTGTCTTCTGACTTCATTTGTACACTGCAGCATCATGCGAGCACATCCAGGAACACACACACACAATTAAAATGTACTTTAAAAAATTTAAGGAGAGCCGGGCGGTGGTGGTGCACGCCTTTAATCCCAGCACTCGGGAGGCAGAGGCAGGCGGATCTCTGTGAGTTCGAGGCCGGGCTGGACCAACAGCCTCCAAAACAACACAGAGAAACCCTGTCTCGTAAAACCCAAAAAAAAAAGAAAAATTTAAGGAGAGAAAGAAAAGAGAGTTGGGGGTACAGTGTGGCTGTAGAATGTTTGCCTAGCATGAACAAGGACCTGGGTTCAAGCCCCAGCACTACAAAACAAAACAGAAATGCAAGGGGCGGCCATGATGCCCTAAAGCCACCCCAGAGAACTTGCTGGATACTGTATGATCAAGGTAGGGATGACGAAGAATGGTTCATCCCAGCCTGACCTCCCATCCCCTGACCCCACAGGCCGAACACACCAGCTTCGAGTGCACTGCAGTGCCCTTGGCCACCCTATCGTGGGTGACCTGACTTACGGACAGGCTGAGGACCAGGAGGACCAACCTTTCCGCATGATGCTGCACGCCTTCTACCTGCGCATTCCCACACAGGCCGAGTGTGTGGAGGCCTGCACACCTGACCCCTTCCTGCCTGCCCTTGATGCCTGCTGGACTCCCCATACCTGCGTTCAGCCCCTTGAACAGCTCATCCAAGCCCTACAGACTGACCCTGACCCCAACCCTATGGATGGAGGGCAGAGACCCCACAGTCCTTCCACACCCCTGCCCGGGCCAGGTCGGCCCCCTCCCGAGACTGAGGCACAGCGAGCATCGTGCCTGCAGTGGCTATCAGAGTGGACACTAGAGCCAGACAACTGAGGGCCTCTGGGCTTTGGGGGTTTAAGAGCTGCTAGACTCCGCAGCCGTGATGGCTAGAGGACAGGGCACTCGGGCTGTGGGACAGATGTCCAGTAGGCAAGTCTTTCAGCATTCTTCCAGGGAAAGCTAAGTTCTCTCCTATGGAATAGCTTTCTGCCTCCTAAGCGTCACCCCAGGCTTGCCCAAGCCTTTAGCCAGGAGGGGCAGAGCCAGGATCCTCCTGGGCCCCATGGTGCCTGGGAAGGGCCATCCTGGCATTAGCCTAGCTGGGCTAGGTTACCTGCAGCCCCCAACCTGCCTCTTGCTGCCTGCCACTGTCATGTGCCTTTGCCTTTGCTGAGCTCTGCCAGGGCCTCACCTCCTCTGCCCACATCCAGCGTTTGGCCCCAATGCATGGGAGTGTGTTGGGGCATCCACAGAAGCATCCTCCATGCATGCCCATCTCTCCAAGCCTGGTGTGGATGCTGCTTCTGCTCTGTGGGCTCCTGGCTGGAGCTTCTGCCGTGTCACCGCCTGCCTGGCTTCCACATAGCCATAGACTGTCAGTGTCAGCCTTTGGGTCCTTTCCTGGAAGCCTTCTGGGCCTCACTTATCTCCCACAACATGGCCACAGCACCCTCGCTGCAGCTAGGGTCTAGGATTAAGAATAAATGTTTAGTAATCAATCCTGAGAGTGACCACAAGTATATCTGATGTGGGGTACCCTTGACCCTTCCTTGCTGAGTCTGGCAAGTCTCTATCCCATGGCTGCTTAGCAGGATCCACTGTAGGCCTTAAGGTCATGTCTGCTGCCCTTCCTCAACCCATAGGCAATAAGAAACATGAAGGAAGGGCTTGGGGGTTCTTAATAGGGACCAGAAGTTGAGTCATATACCCAGTCCCTAGAAGGTCCCTCCCAATTAGAAGCATTACTGTATATAGCAGCTTTCAACCAGGGTCCCTAGAAGAGCCACTGTTCATGTTGGCCAGTGGCCAGTCTAGGTGCCCAGAGTCCCAGTGCTCATGGGTGGGACATAACATTCCCTGGACCCTGCTCAGTCCCGCCCCATTGCCATACGTCTCCCGGACTGCCGCTCTGGGTTGGACTACAGCTGCCATGATGGGCCAGACCAGAAGCCACTGCTCACTGGACCTTGGTAAAGACTACATGGAAGTCAGGGCCATGAGGTCCTGAGCTAGTTGCTTCTACTTCCTGTGCCTGTTTCCCAGTCTGTAAAAGAGGAGTTTAAGAGTAGCTTGGGAGGCTATGCCCACCCCCATTGGGCACTCACATGCTTCTTTGTCTTTCTGTGGGGAAATCCATGTCTTTTCCTGTCTCCTTAGCCTCAGGATGTCCCTCACTCAGCACAGGCCTAGTCACAGAGGTGACCTGGAAGGATGTCTCTGCAGACCCTGGCACTAGGAGTTTACTTCCCTAGCAGCCAACTCCAAAGCCGCTGCCCACAGTTCAACAGCTGTCATGCCAGTTATCGCCACACGGGAGCACTGCTGAGTCCTGTCACCAGTGTGTCTGCACCTGGACCCTAAGGCATGGGTTCCTCAACTTGTGATGTGGCCAGCCTCATACCTCTGCAGTTCTCAGGGGTCCTTCCCGGCCAGACCTCAGGCATGGATACACCAAGACTTCCCCCAGGGCGTTCAGCACTGACAGGCACATGCCAGAGACCTCGGGGCAGTGCCTGAGTAAGGAGGCTGTCTTCGTACAGGAAAGAGCCATTGCCTCAGAGAGTCCAGGCCAGCTTCTTTCTATAAGCCACCAAAGGCAAACTTTACCATTCTGAAGAGGAAATAAGACTGGCCATGTAGCTCAGCTTAGCATTCATGGACCCCTGGGTTCCAACCCCAACAGTACATTCAAGCAAGCAACAAACCAAAAAAGCCTTTGTGTGGTGGTGCACACGTGTAATCCTCAGGCCTTGGAAGCAAGGAGATCCCAAGCTCAAGGACATCCTCAACAACATAACAAGTTGGAGGTCAGCCTGACACAAGAGACTGTTTGTTGTTGTTTGTTTGTTTGTTTGTTGTTTTTGGAGACAGGGTTTCTCTGTGGCTTTGGAGCCTCTCCTGGAACTCGCTCTGTAGACCAGGTTGATCTCAAACTCACAGAGATCCACCTGCCTCTGCCTCCCGAGTGCTGGGATTAAAGGCGTGCGCCACCACTGCCTGGCTCAAGAGACCGTTTTTTAAAAAAACATTTTTTTGGAGGGGCTGGAGAGATGGCTCAGTGGGTAACATATTGTTGCACAAGTGTGAAGACCTGAGTTTCAATCCTTAGAACCCACATAAAGCCAGATATGGGGTTCACAGTCCCAAGTTTCTACAGTGACATGGGAGGTGGAGACTGCAGAAGCTTATGGGCCAGCACGCTGTGAACACAACAGTGGACTATTTCAAACAAGGTGGAAGAGACAAGGCCAGGACTAACCCTGATGAGATAGTTTTCTGATATCCACACATATGTGCACTCTCACACACACACACACACACACACACACACACACACACACACGCACGCACGCACGCACGCACGCGCACATTCACATACATACACACAAACACAAATATACTCACATACACACACACACACCACACACATGGGGGGGAGATTATAAAGAAAAATAAGCAGATCTTCCGTGGCAGGTGTCTGGAGCAGGAAGCAAAGCAGGTCAGGGCACGGGAGCTACAGATGAGTCCCCAGGCAGGCAATGCACCTCTGTAACCTCCATGACCCAGCCTGCCTCCCAAAGGACAAACCAGTAGGAGCAAAAGAATGTACCCTCATGTCACAGCCAGACTTCAGCTTAGCGCCAAATGCCAAGTGGCGTAGGGTAGCACCAGTATGCCAGCCCTGGGTTGCCATCAGGGGGGACCCCAGTGACCAGTATGCAGGATGGGTGAGGTCTCTGAACTATCACAGTGGCCTGGCACACAAGTTGAGGCCATGGGGAAAGGGGTGGGATAGATGGACAGGTAAGCAGACAGGACAAGCTGGAGGGAAGGCAGAACAGAGGCCCTGGGAGAGGCCCTGCTCCAGAAAACACTCTACTACTAGGTCTGTCTAGAAAACCCCAACCGACCCTCGTGGTCTCCCGGGATCCTCTGTACCTACCCACGTGGTCCAGCACCTGCTCCCATCCCAGGTGGGAAATCCCCCAGTTGAGGCTCCAGAGTCCCAATAGGATACCCACGTTTGCACGTCTACCCTCATCCTGTGGCTATGGGGTGGGCAGGTTCAAAGGGTGGACAAGGTTCAGAGGACAGAGCCTTAGACAAGCTTCCTGGAAGAGGGATCTCCTGAGGCAAGGCCAACACAGCCAGCACTCCAGGCAGACTCAAGCAAATGGAGAGCAGGGTGTTGAAGGCCTTGCCCGGGCACACTGCAAGGCAGTGACACTTGCTCTGTGCCCTACTCACTCAGCCTCCCTGGGCCCCCATTTTCTCATCTGGAAAATAAGGATTTGAACTCTCCCAAGGCTGTGGGAGGATTCAGTTAGCCATAAACAAGAGCAAGGGATAGACTGTGACGCCACCAGCCATGATTCTATCATATAGTCATTTGTTCATCTTGGGCCTAGGACTGCCCTAGAGGCCAAGCCTACAGTGGGGCAGCTTCTGTCCAAGCTAGAATGTGGGAAGTCTCCTCCAGCCTACCTGGAGGTAGGTGGAGACCCCTCCCTCACATGACACCTCTTCCTGACAGGTATCTCGGTGTCCAGAGCAGCCTTTTAAGCCAAAGCAGGCATGTAATTAATTCAGTGATACAGTACTTGCCTAGCGTGCTCAAGGCCCTAGATTCAGTACCAGGATAACAAATTCAAACACAAAAACTCCTCACCAAAACCTGTTCCCAGGTCAGCACTGGAGTCAGAGTGCCAGTGGCAGTGTGTCCTTGACCTCGGGTTGATGCTGTTTGTACTTTATGCTTGAGGTTTTTTCCCAAGCCTGTCCCTGGGCTTGCTCCTCAGAATGGAGGCCCCTGAGCCTCAGTGCCCCTCACAAGCACGAAATGTAGCTGCTGGAAACCACTATGTCACTGACAGGAGCTCTGTGAGACCCATTGCTCTGAGCCAGTCAAGCCACCTGAGTTCCAACCTAGTAGGGGTCCCACCTGGCCGGTCCTCTGGGACTCCTGGGAGGCTATAGTCTGCTGTTTCTACAGCTGCAAGCCGCACATGGGGCTGCAAAGCTGGCTTGCTGGTCACCTGGTATTTTGAGTGCAGACTGATTATGTAACTTCAGAACCACACTTCAGGGCCCTGGAGCCTTCCTGCCCTCCACAGCCCTTTCCAAAGTCAGAGCTTCAAGCGGGCCATGGTGAGTGCCAGGAGCCAGGGATCAGTCTGGGACAGTCAGGATCCACACTTCAACCCAGAGGCAGCTTCCCAGCAGGTATCCTGGAAAATCCCCCTTGCAGACTTTCCTCTTACCTAGGCACTTCCGAGATTTGCCATCATCTTGGCCCTGGTGCTGATAATGATTGTGTCCCTGAGGTTTTGGCAGCAGGCCCTGGGTAGATCCATGGGCTGGAATAGGTGTCCAATGTATGCCTCTCTGCATCCTCACTCTGTCCCACAGCCCACATGTGTCTACATGGCACTGTGCTTTAGCACCCATAGGATGGCCACACCCAGCCACCATACTTGTCTGTGTGCGTCTAATGTCCTGTGTGGGGACAGCTTGCATATGGAAGTTCTGGGGCTACACAGAATGTGCAGAATGAGACACACCTATGTGCACAGAGACACTGACACACACCCTGAGTAAGGCTGGGGGCCTCAAGGGGAGGGTGTGTGCTGGGTGCCTGCCAACCCTGAGCTCAGCCCAAGCTCAGCTTGAGTTTCTCCTGGGGCTGAAGAGCAGGTGCTTGCTCTGCCTGGGGCCCACGGGGTTGATTCAAGCATCAGCTGGCAGTCTAGTCTCCTCCCCATAGGCCTGCCTGGCAGATGTCACTGCCAGAGTGGATTGACTGGGCAGGGAAGTCCCATGCTGTCTAATGGGCCAGGCTTGCAGATGAGCAGAAACCGTGGCAGGTTTACCCACACCTGCCCTGCATCCTGAGGCTCAGCTGCAAGGATTGATAGAACCTGAGCCTGGATCACTGGCATCTGGATTGCTTGGTCTACTCTATCCTGTGGCCGTGTGATCAGGAGTAGCCTCCTCCCTGGGTCCTGGACATCACCTTCTCTACCAGAGACCGCATTCCTGCTCAGGTAAGACCTGCGAGGACAGAAGACCACAGTGTTGCAGGCTGCTAGGTATCTGAGCCTGTTTTACCCCCCAAATAGGGCACTGACCTTCCTGTGCGCCTCTTGGACCACATAGAATCAGGTCATAGGGGCCCAAAAGTCATTATACTGTACACGCAGCAGTGAGGGGGCGTCAGTGGCACAGGGCAGCTCTGGCTAGGTCCCCTCTTGTCTTCTAGAACTGGGATCTTAGAGACAGGTTTGGGTCACAAGGTGTGGGGGGCACCTCTCCCCCACTGCCTAGGAGATTTGCTGTTTGTGAGATCTGCTAATTGGAGACAATGCACCCATGGGTCCCCAGGGCCCAACCTGTGATAAGAAAGCCAGGTTCACTAGTTCCCCTCCCCTGCCACTCCCTGTCGTTATGACTCTTGTTTGTGGGGTTGTTTTCCTCCCCAGGCAGGGTCAGGCACCCTGCGAGATGCTGATGATGGCTTTCTCTTTCTCTCTCTCGCTCTCCCTCTGTCTCCCATGAAACTAAGCTGAGTCACTCCAGCTAGACCTGGACCTACAACCTACAGCTTTTGGGCTTCCCTGCCCTGAAACGCTCCAGCCAGGATGATCAGAACTCTCCGACAGTCAGCCTTGGGTGCCAGACTGGGTGAGGAAACACTTCCACACCGAGAGGATTCCCTGGGCCCTTGGGTGGCTGTGGATCTATCACATTGCCGCAGAGGTGGGGCATGCTCTAGCCACCCCGTCCACAGGAACTCAAACTTGGGGACCTGCAGCAGGGAAAGGAAGGGAGGAGAGTGAGGTCTCACCAACACAGACCTGGGGGTCCTAGTGGAGACAAGGCAGGACTGTGACCAGAAGTAGCCACCGCTGGTCTAGGCAGCAGGACATAGACCAAGTCCTCTTTGGTAGTCCCAGCGTAAGCCAGGCCAGGCCCCAAGGAGGCAGGGAGGGGAATGGTCCACAAAGGACATCAGAGTATAGCCATCTTCCGTAGGCCCTGTCCTGCTGTGTTGCTGCTGCAGAAGGGATTTTGCTAAGTGTATGCTTTGAGCGATGAGAGAAGCATCCCTGGAAACAAGCCCCCTCCTCCTAGACCAGAGGCTTTTCATGTCCCATTACAGAAACAAGGGGCTTGGGAGAATATGGAGCCAATCCTTGTCTCTGAGTTCTGGGGTCTCGGTGTTCAATTATGAGTACCCAGGGCAGCAATCAGGGAGGCACTTACACACATGCACTCGCCAGAAAATGTATGCACACTTGTGGAAGTCACATACCACATGCAGGTTCAGGCTGTGTACACAGAAGCTGGTATGGCTCTACAAGCCTCCTCCAGGTCCTCCGTTTTAGGAGGAACTGTGGCTGAGGAGGTCACGGGGAGCCCGTACTCATACCCTCACCGACACTCTGTTGCAGGTGCCCTGGCGAGTCCGGGTCTCGCTCTCCTTCTGTCCCTCACTGCCCACTGCTCTGGTCCTCAGACTAAGGGCTTCCCCAAGGGAGGGCTGAATACTAGTGAAGCCAACACATGGGTCAGGTGAGCAAAACCAAGTCCAGCAAATTGTTTTCTGTGAGAGAGCGTGCAGAAGAGGAGTGGTCCTGAGTCCTCTGTTGGTGGTCCCAGGGCAGGGACAATGTCTAGAGTCTACACAGAAGGCCCGGACAGGGTCACTGATTGCCAGCTCTAACCTAGGGGGCTTAGCCTAACTTCAGCATCACTTGCTGGCCTGCTTCTAGGATCCAGTGTCAATTATATGTCGACAAGTCCCTGTCCACTAGCAAATGTGTGGGCATACTTACAAGAAGCCTCAACCATCAGAGACTTGCAACTTCAGTCAGTGCCCCCCAGGCCTCCCCCCCTTGGAGCTCTAGGCTATCACCCCTTACTGCTTGTGCCAGGCCCAGGGCCTTCAAGGCCATTGCTATACCCCAAATCATTTAAGCTTGGTCATTTCCTTCTGTCCCAGGCTCTCAGGCCTGGACTTGGATGTTCCCCTTTTTCTTGAAGTGATGATCATCAATGGGCCAGTCAGTTAATGTGATGATTGGTCAGGCAGGACCAGGATCCCAAGTAGATCTAGCCAAGCCTGGGTTAGTATGAGAGACCGCCTCCCACCCAATAGGTGGATTTCATGTCACACCTTGAGAAAGGTCCAGAAGATAGCCTCACCCATGGTCACCTAGCATGTGACCCCATACTCTTCAACAGCTATCAGGACTGGTCCAAGCCTGAGTTCAAAGTCAACTGAGCCTGAGCCCCAGAAGTGATAACAGGACCCATGTTAAAGACCCATCCCGCTGACAGATTGGCCCTAGCAAGGTCCTCTAGGAAGGAAGGAAGGAAGGAAGGAAGGAAGGAAGGAAGGAAGGAAGGAAGGAAGGAAGGAAGGTTTTACCCATAACAGGCGTTGCCTGCCTCTTACTTCCTCAGCAGTGGAGACAGATGAGTGACCAAGTCCCCCTTGCTGGGTTGGGTCTTCCTCTTTGGACCCAGCATAGCCCCTCCTTCTATACAGGGACAACACCAACCTCTCGCAGAACTTTTGGTGCTTGCCAGCCAGCCAGCTGCCCCGGGAAGAGCTCTCCACTTTACTCAGAAGCCTGGCTTCGAAGAGGGTCCCACTCAAAGCCTGGCAGGTAAGCGTGTCCAGGGCTGAGCGAGCACAGGTGTTGGGGGCTACCCAGGACATTGGAGAGTACACAGGTAGAGGGGCATCTTTGCAAGGACTTGACGTTTGCACACAGCTTCCCTGAAGCAAAGGACTAGCTCCAAGTCATCCTGCCAACCTCAAAACCACCTAGAATGTGACTTTTTGTTGCTGGTTTGTTTTTTGTTTGGTTTTTTGGTTTTTGGTTTTTTGTTCTTTTGTTTTTTTATGAGACAGGGTTTCTCTGTATTGTTTTGGAGGCTATCGGTCCAGCCCGGCCTCGAACTCACAGAGATCCTCCTGCCTCTGCCTCCCGAGTGCTGGGATTAAAGGCGTGTGCCACCACCACCCGGCTTGTTGCTGTTTTTAAATTTATTTAAATTTATCTTATGTACGCTGGTGTGAAGATGTCAGGTCCCCTGGAACTGGAGTTAGAGACAGTTGTGAGTTGCCGTGTGGGTGCTGGGAATTGAACCTGGGTCCTCTGGAAGAACTGTCAGTGGTTTTAACCACTGAGCCATCTCTCCAGCCCCTAGAATGTGAATTTTTGGTGGCCCCACTGTGGCAAGAAGTCTGGCCCTTCTCAGGCGACTCTTCCCCTACAGGGTGATCTGTATGAGCACCCACACTGGGTAGCTCTAGCAAATCTGTCTACAGGGTGCTTCTGCCTTGACTTGAAACGACCACAGGCTTGTCCATGGCCTCGGGCCCCTTTCCATGCTCTTCTAGGACATGGTGCCTCCTTGGGTGGTCCAGCCCCAGGACTCATGAGGGAGGATCTTGCAGGCCATTAGCCTCTCTCCCAACTGAGGCTGCAGGAGTCTGGTGAGCCCACTTAGCCCTACATCTGACCAACATCACCTGTCCATGTTAACAGAAAGAAAGAGCTAGACACAGTGCATGAGCCTTTAACCTCAGCACTTGAGGGGCTTTGGCAGAGGAACTAATTTAAGGTTAGTCTGAGCTGTGTAGAAAGCTCCTCTATTTTTTCCTTTTGTTTTGTTTTGTTTTTTTTTTGTTTGTTTGTTTTTTCTTTTTTTCGAGACAGGCTTTCTCTGTAGCTTTGGAGCCTGTCCTGGAATTCGCTTGGTAGACCAGGCTGGTCTCGAGCTCACAGAGCTGGGATTTAAGGCATGTGTCACCAGCTTCCGGCACTCCTCTATTTTTTTAAACATAAGTCTTAACATGTGTGTGCCTCAAAGTGCCCAGATACACATGACACAAACTGATAGAATGTACAAAGAACACGTGAATCTGTTGAGATAGCCAGCGATGTCTGCTTCCTGTCAGACCAGGACAGGTGCAGCAGCTGGAATCAAAACCATGAAGAGTTCATTCATCATCTCAGTCAGGTACATGGAGCTGGTATGTGCAGACAGCCTTAACCCACAACAACAGAACACATCTTACCAAGACAGACGCATCACTGCCTCTAAGATCCACCTCCCCCAGCCTTACAATGTAGACAGCATCCAGTATCTGGTCTCAGAGCACAACAAACTTGAACAAGAAATCAGTTGCAGAAAAATATATGGAAGCCAGGCATTGGTGGTGCACACCTTTAATCCCAGCACTCTCTGTGAGTTCAAGGCCAGCCTGGTCTACAGAGTGAGTTCCAGGACAGCTTCCAAAGCCACAGAGAAATCCTGTCTCAAAAAAACAAAACAAAACAAATATATATGTGGAAAACTCACTAATACATGGAAATTGAACAACAGGCTCTTTTTTGTAAAAAGAAAAAAAGATTTATTTTATGTGTGTGGCTGTTTGCTGCCAGGTATGTACATGCACCACATGTGTGCCCGGTGCCTGAAGGGGTCCAAAGAGAGTGTTGGATGCCCCAGAACTGCAGTTATGGATGGTTGTGAGCCATCATGTGGGTGCTGGGAATTGAACCTAGGTCGCCTAGAAGAGCAGCCAGTACTCTTAACTGCTTAACCATCTCTTTGGCACAAGACGGCTTAGCTGGTAAAGGGATTTGCCGCTGAGTCTGGCAACCTGAGTTTGACCCCAGAACCCAGATGATAGGAAGAGAACTGTTTCCTGCAAGTTGTCCTCTGACCACCACATGTATGCCACAGCTTGTATGCAACCCCTCTACCACCGCAATACATTTTAAAACATTAAGTGTTAAAAGGAAAGATCTGAACTCAGTGGTGCAGTTTCCTATTGGGAAACCAGGGGAAGACGAGAAATAGAAATGTAAAAGAAGAGACGGAAGGATGAAAGCTGGAGGTAAAAATGAATGAAACCGGAAGGAAATCATCAATGTCGCAAGCTGCTCTTGTGAAACGGTGAAGAGCCCCTAGCCTGGCTAACAGAGAGGGAAGAGACCCAGATCACCAATAGTGGAAATGAGCAAGGGCCATTTGTTGCACACCCTGAAAATAAAGGGATTGCAAAGAAATGTCTATCTGTGCGCACAGCTGTGCCAGCTTAGATGTAATGAACCAGTTCCCGGAAAGGCAGAATCTGTCAACACCCACACGGGGACATGGAGACAGGTCATCAGAACAGGTGTGATTTTGTATGCCTGTCCTCTCTGTACGCAAGAGAGTCCTGAGTTCACGGTCAGACGGGCTACACAGTGAAACCCCTAGGAAAGAAGGAAGAAAGGGAGGGAGGGAGGGAGGGAGGGAGGGAGGGAGGGAGGGAGGGAGGGAGGGAGGGAGGGAGGGAGGGAGGGAGAGAAATCAACACTCCCTAGGCAAAACTGACCTACTTTTAATATCCATGGGGCCATTGTCTTACTTAGATGAGCATTGTAACCTGTAAAGTTGAATGACTGCAAATCTAATTTGAACACCTGTGGATTTTGTTTTTGAAACAGGGTCTCCACATAGTTACCCTGGAACTCACTCTGTAGATCAGGCTGGCTTCCAACCCACAGAGATCCACGAGCCTCTGCATCCAGAGTGCTGGGATTAAAAGCGTGCGCCACCACACCCAGCTCATCTCTGACTTTTGCGGCAGTCGGTTCATTTGCCTCTCTCGGGACTGTCTCAGACCTTGTTTTTCTATCTGCCTTCTCATCTCTGAGCTACTGCAAGTTTTTTCCTCACATGTATCTCCAATTCCTTCTTAAAGTGTCCCTTCTGCTGAGGGGGGTACGGGCTTAGCAGTGTCCCACCAGGGCCAGTCCACCCTGGACAGATGGTGACCTACTGTCCAAACTCTGCCCCTGCTCAGCTTAGCTGCCTGGCCAACCTCGCTGCACGGCAAGGCCTTCAGGAGGACTTTGAGTTCCACCCACCCAACCTCCTACTTTTCTACAAGTGAGTGTCCCTGCTGTGGCCTTCTCATCATTTAGGTGCCTGACAGCTGTGGTTGGGCCTTCTCTAGTCTTGGGCCACCCTGGAGATGCTAGGAAGGCCCAGCCTCCCTGACATCCCTCCACTTGTCCTCAGTCTGAGCCAGGTGAGCGAAGCCAACTGCCGGGCCTTCATTCACCATGCTGCCCAAGGGGACACAGAACTGCTGGCCAACTTGCCCAACCAGAGAGTTGCCCTACAGCACACCGCCTTGGCCTGTCTGGTAGGTGCCTCAGGTGAGGACAGGGTTGGGCAGTGAGGCCAGGCCATCTGTTTAGCACTGACCTACTGTCCCTGCAGGGGGAGACCCCACCTACAGCTCAGTGCCTCAGACCTGGGGCTTCTCGGGGTCCTGGTATGTGACATGGAGGCACCCCAAATCGTGACTTCAGACCCCCATGTGCTGAAGAACCTGCTTCGATGCCCAAGGCTGACTTTCATGCAGACTACTGCCCTTAACACCCTGCTGGCCAGTGGGAAGACACAAATTGGGTGGGTAGGGGGTCCTGGGGATCAGGGTAAGGGGGGGGCCAGGGAGGCTAGAGGGCTTCCTTCCTTGAGATAAGATGGGAGGGAGCTTGAGGTTTGAACCCAGGGTGGTAGCAATGCCTTCTACACTCTTGCTATTTGGACTCTGACGCAGCCCCCACCCCTCACTCTGACATTGCAGGTTGAGGCATGGAGGCACAGGGTTCACGGCAGGACAGATCCCAGACTGTGGGCACTAGCTGGGAGTTAAGGGCCTATGAATATTCTTCCAGCCTGCTTAGGGGCGGGGTGACATGTTAGATTCTGACACAGCACCCTTTCCCTTGCACCAGGCCCCCTGGCTCCTGGAACCTGGAGGCGCTGCAGGCCCTAGGACCTCTGGCCACCTACATCAGCCCCCACCTGTGGGAGAAGGTGCAGGAGGTAGGAAGGCCCCTGGAGTGGGGCTGGCTGTGGGTACCACTAGTCCTTCCAGGACCAAGAGTGCCGCACAGCCACTCAGCTTGGAGTGGTGGCCCTGGGTGCTCCTATCACAGCACAGATGGCGTGTGGGGCCAAAGGAGGGACTAGACTGACCCTTCCCGTGACTGGGAATGGACACACTTGCCCCTGGCAGGCTGTGGGCTTGGAGTTCTTCCGCAGTGTGGTGGCTGCATACCGGGCAGGCCAGCTGAACAGGCGCGATGCCGTGCGCTTCATCACCAACTTCCTGGAGTCCAAGGCCAATTCAGTGTCCTCAAGGCTCAAGCGGCGCACAGGTCAGTGAGACCAGGGTGTACTAGGGACACTATGCCTCCCTCAGTCTCCGTAATTTTGGCCTAGTCTGGGTCAAGCTCTTGGCTAGAGACCAAGATGAGGAGCAAGTCAAGGTCTGGTTACAATCAGAAGTAGATGGGGTTGGGCATGGTGGCACTTAAGGGGCCAAGGCAGGAGGATTTTAAGTTTGAGGCCAGGTTGGGATACATAGCAAGAGTCTGTCCCCCAAAAGCAAACAGACAAGAAAAAAGTAGAGGCCAGGGTCTAAGATGGGTCCCCAAACCAGCAAGTTGTCAGTTTGGGCTTCACCTGCCAGCCTGCTCATCAGCACACCCTGCAGGGAACGCTTGTGTCCGTGGCAACATCACAGCAGCCACCCTGCATGATGACCTCTTCCTGGTGCACTACGACTGCACCCAGCTGGAGTCCTGCCTGGGCACACGTGTGCTCAGGGCCAACCTGGACCCCTTACTACAACACCCCCTGCCTGCAGAGTGCCAGCGTGTTGTCAAAGCCAAGCTCGCTCAGGTGTGTGGATGGTCATTATGGGGTGGAGTCTAGAGGGCTCAGCTACAACTTAAACTACCCACCTGCCTCAGATCTACCCACACGGCATCCCTGAGGACCAGCTGCACCTCATCACCTCGCTGGTCTACCTCTACTCCCTCGCTGAAATAGGCCAGTGGAACATCACGTCTGGGGACACGGTGATGGTCCTGCTGGCCTCAGATGCAGCTCTGGAGAACCAGACAGAGGTGAGGGCTGGCAATGGGACTGAAACTGGCTGTTCTGGTTTGCCCAGACCCACTGACCCTGGGCCTGCCCCTAGGCAGTTCTACAGAAGTACTTGGACCATAACGGCAAGGTTACTGGCGCTCTTCTGGTGGCCATCGGGGGTTCCCGTCTCTGCTGGATGAGCCTCAAGCAGATCCAGATCATCCAGCCCTCGGAGTTCCGGTGAGCCTCCCAGTCAACCACCTTCCCAGCAAGAGGCATAGGGGAAACTGAGGTTGGGGACAGAGGGTGGAATTGACTGAGCCAGGCTGTCAGAGACATAGGGGACCACCATAAGAAAATGTCACAAACAGTGAGGGAGACAGCTAGTAAAGAGCCTGTGGAACAAGCACAGGGACCTGAATTCATGTCTCCAGCACACGGCGTAAAAGTCTGAAGCTGACAGCCACACCTGTGATGCCAGCAATCTAGCTGATCAGTCTAGCTGAAATGATGAACCCCAGGCCAATGGCCCCCGGAAATAATTGCTATTGAGGAAGATACCTGGAGTCAACCTCTGCCCTCTAGCCTGCACACATGAACACACACCCATGAACACACACACACACACACACAAAGAAAGTTAGCAAGATGGTTCAGAGGGTAAAGATGCTTGCTGCCAAGTCATACGAACCCAAGTTCAATCCCTGGGTCACACATGGTGAAGGCGAGTATTGACTTCTTCAAGCTTTCCTCTGATCTCCACACATAGACTGTGGTGCCCACGCACATGTGCACACAGACATGAATAATATAAAAATGATAAAAAAATACATATAATGAAGGAAAGGAAGTATCACAAACCAAGTAACTTAAAATGATAAATATATTCTCTAGGACTTCTAGAGCCTGGAAGGGCGATGTCAGAGTGTCCATGGGGCCAGGCCCCTCGGAACCTCACAGGAAGGCCTTTCTTGCTCTATCTGTATGTCTGTATGCAAAAGCCCTGCTTATCATAAGAACACAAGGAAGTTAGGTCAACCTAGCCCAGTGGACCTTCATCTGCTCTGATTTCATCTGCCAAGAGTTTATTTCCAAATAAAGGCACTTTCTGAGGTGCCAGGTGGACTTCAGTTTGGGGGGTTATACTCTCACCCAGTAGAAGGGACAAGAAGAAATCTGTGTTTCAATGGCTAGAGGCTATACTCAATGGTCCAGGTCAAGGGGCTTTCAGCCTATTCATCTCACTCCCAGGCTGGCTGGGGCTCCAGACATCTCCCCTTGCCCTCAAAGTCGGAAGGATGTGCTCTTCGCCAAGGCTCGCGAGGTCTTTAGGAACACCAGTACTGTAGGAGAATACTACTACTTAATACGCCCCTACCTTGGTGAGCTCTGGGCTGTCTCCTCTCCCCTAAGTCTTCTGCCTCTCCTTAATTCACCCCTTACCTTTGCCCTGTGTGTCACCCCCACACACACAAACTCACACACACCCTCTGCTGTCTCTTATCACTGCTCTCTCTAGGTGGCGCCCCCTTGGAGGAACTTCAATACCTGGCCCAGGCCAACATCTCCATGGACATTGATACATTCACCAACCTCAACCCCTTCATGCTGAAGGTGGGCCCAGGGGCTACCTCTGTTTTGTTTTGTTTTGTTTTGTTTTGTTGAGATGTAGCCCAGGCTAGCCTGGAACTCACAATCCTCCTGCCTCAGTGTCTTGAATGATTGGGTTACTGACATACACCACACTGCCTGGCTTGGAGTCTGTCTCTGGGGTGGGGCTGGCCAAGCTGAGAACCCGAGGTCTCGGACCCATGTGTTCCAAAGCCTGAGGGGTGCAGGTGACATGTGACCTCTGTGCCTCACAGTCCTCACCCTTTTCAGTCCTGAGAGCAGCTCTCACCTTGCTGGGTCCTGGACTGGGGAAGGCAGCCCCATGGATCCTCACATCTCTCCCGAAAACCCTGGTTTCAATTACAGAACATGAGTGTGGACAGTGTGAGGAATCTGCTGGGCCAGAATGTGGGGGACCTGCAGAAGGCCCGTAACCACCCAAATGTTATCCTGTGGATGCACAGCCACAACATGTCAGACCTGTCTGAAATGGGCCTGGACACCAGTCCCACCCTGTCCTATGTGACCAACAGGCCCCCTAACACTGCCTACCCACCATCCGATTTGATCCATACCTTGGATCTTCCAGGGAATGACGGTGTTGCCCCGGCCTCAGGTATGTCCACACCCCTTGTTCCCATCCTTAGCAGACCCCTGGCTGTCCTTGCCTCCTGGGTGTTCTACCATATGTCACAGGTCATTGCCTGATGAACCATCTATAGTGATACAATTGCCTCCTTCCAAACCCCATTAAATGAGGACCAAGCCTGGTGGCCCAAGGTTGTAATCCCAGCTACTCAGGAGGCTAAGACAGGAGGAGGACTGCAAATTCAAGACTTGCCTGGGCTACAGAGAAAGCTTAAGGCTAGCCTGGGAAACTTGGAGATGTGTGTGTACGTACGTGTATATACACACACATATGTGGGGGTGAGTAGAGCTGGGTGTGTAACTTAGTGGAAAGAACTTGCCTAGCCAAGTACAAGGACCCACGTTCAATCCCCAACACCACAGAAACAAAACAAATGCTCCCCCCAAAAAACACAAAAAGGGACCAGGCTGAGACCAGAAGAGCAGCTATGGATCAGTCCTCACTGACTCTGATAGCTGTCACCACCACAAAAGGAAGGGTGACAGAAGGGACTCTAGGAGAATCTTCTAATCAAGATCAATGGGTCCCTTCCTTGTTCTATCAGCAGGAAGTCCTCCAGTTCATCTGGGGTACCTGTCACTTGCTGTGGCTCTGTCTTCCAGCCTCTTGTGGCTGCTACTGTGTCAGGCGTCTTCGGGACCAATAGGCACTTGTCACAAGGCACTAGGACCCTGGACACTGCCAATGGTGCTGACCCAGGGCAGTCAGACCCCTGAACATCAGATACAGGAGCAACGGAGCTGATAGATGGAACGAGACACCTAGGCTGAAGTACATGTCCCAGACCCCAGGGGACCTACTGTGTTCCACATCCTAGGAGACTGGCTCTGGTACACACCTCAGCTCTAAGGACCTGGGCTGGAAAGGAGATAGGACCTATCCAGCCACAAGAAAGGTTGGTAGGAAGAGACAGGTCCAGATCTTCTGGCCTATTCCAAGACAAATGGAACTTGGTGTCACTTTGATGTCACTGCCCTCACTGGTGTATCTGAATAAAGCACAAGGCTATTGTACAGCCCATGTCTCTACTAGGGCCTTGTTGGGGACAGAATCCTCTTGACAGAGCGAGACTGTGGTGGCCTCCCACACACCTCAGCTGGGGTCTCGGGACTTCCTCGGATGGCAGCAATCCCACCAGGGAGGCCTTGAGTACTGCCACCTACCTGCAGGACCATTTTTCATCCCTCTTTTTTCTTTCTTTTTCATTTTTTAAAGTATTTATTTTATTTTCTATATATTGATTGTTTTGCCTGCATGTGTGTCTGTGTGAGGGTGTCAGATTGCCTGGAACTGGAGTTACAGACAATTGTGAGCTGTTGTGTGGGTGCTGGGAATTGACCCTGGGTCTTCTGGAAGAGCAGCCAGTGCTCTTAACTGCTGAACCATTTATCCAGGCCACGGCTTTCTTTCTAAGAGAGTGGGAGGGATGAGCACAGGGAGCTGTATTTATGTGATTTCTGTGATCACAAAAAACTTCAAAGTCATTCTCTTGACTGAGCTTGGGAACACTACAGGACATCTCAAGGGGGCACATGCCACTGTTTATTGAGTTCAGGAGTCCTCAAACTTTGGCAATAACCCCTGAGACCTGCTCCTGGTCAAGATGGGGTTCCACATTAGGGCTGGGGCCAGGAGCCTTAGGGGTGGTGGTCTCAGCTCAGTATAAAAGCTGAGAGCAGAGCTGGAATCCATGCAATTATAAATCCTGGTCCAAGAAGTGGAGCTCCACTGGAGAAGGCCTCTGCAAGGAGAGGAGGAAACTCAGGCTCTCGACTCCCTCCCCCACCCTGCCCCTGGGCAGCCCAGCTCACCTCGGACATTGAGGTCTAGGACCAGGTAGCCATTGGGGATGCCACCCTGAAGTCCCAAACCCAGCCTGTCCAGGTCTTCCTGCCGCTGCTGGAGGAGCCAGTCCCGAACAGGGCTTTTATCCTCCTCGGTCTTCAGACCCACAATGTGTGGCCCTAGAAGTCTCTGTACTTCAGTCACAGTCAGCCCCTGCCAGAGTTTGGGGTAGACATCAGGGTCTCTAAGCCCCCAGAAGTTTGGAGGGTCCACTGTGAGTAAACTGCAGCCCACAATACCTCAACTCCTGCATACAAGGCACCCTTTGCGAGGCCACCATGCCTCTTCCAGCTGGGCCTGTCCAAACTCCTCCCTCATGAGGCTCAACCCCTTCTCAAGAAGTCCTGTTTCTTGTCCCTCATATACCTCTGCTTTACACCAGGCCTTCCTCATGAGGCTCTACAAGGCCCTCTGTCCCACATAAGGACCCCACATACAAGTCCTTCTCCTCGGGAGGCCTGGCCACTTCCTTTAGCACCTCTCTTGGGCCCCTCCTTCCTGAGCTCCCACCCCCACTTACCACCAGGGCATCCACCTGCAGCTTCTTGAAAGTGGCTAAGTCCATGCTCAGGTTCTGCTGACTGAGAGTCCTCAGGTCCTCCACAGAGGCCCCACCTGCAGGAATCGGAGCCCCAGGTTGAAAATTCACAGCACAGTATAGTGCCACCGTTGGCTATAACATACTCAGTTTCTCAGGGATCATCCTCTTCCTGATGCCCAGGCCCTTCTATGTTCAACAACCACCTGGACCACTAGAGTCAGAAGGGATGGGAGAGGCAGTCATCAATGCCAGATCCCACATATGCCTAGGAAGGCCTGGGTGTGGCGTGGAGAGGATAGGACTTGGCATATAGCCGTGGGGTCTAGGAAGCCCTGGGTGTGGCGTGGAGAGGATAGGCTAGGACTTGACATATAGCCATGGGGTCTAGGAAGCCCTGGGTGTGGCGTGGAGAGGATAGGATAGGACTTGGCATATAGCCGTGGGGTCTAGGAAGCCCTGGGTGTGGCGTGGAGAGGATAGGCTAGGACTTGGCATATAGCCGTGGGGTCTAGGAAGCCCTGGGTGTGGCGTGGAGAGGATAGGATAGGACTTGGCATATAGCCGTGGGGTCTAGGAAGCCCTGGGTGTGGCGTGGAGAGGATAGGCTAGGACTTGGCATATAGCCGTGGGGTCTAGGAAGCCCTGGGTGTGGTGTGGAGAGGATAGGCTAGGACTTGGCATATAGCCGTGGGGTCTAGGAAGCCCTGGGTGTGGCGTGGAGAGGATAGGCTAGGACTTGGCATATAGCCGTGGGGTCTAGGAAGCCCTGGGTGTGGCGTGGAGAGGATAGGCTAGGACTTGGCATATAGCCGTGGGGTCTACAGTGCTCCATTGTACCCACCAGTGTGTGCCTTGACTCACCCAGGAATGTCCTGATTTTCTCAAAGTATTCCTGCCTGCTCGTATTCTGAAAGGCCAAGCAGGCCTTTTGATAGAGGACATCCAGATGCCTCAGGCTGCACTTGTTCAGGTCTTGGGGCTTAACCAGCCTGGGGGATGTTGTGAGACATGGAGACATGGCAGGGATTAGATTAGGAAGCTCTGAATATCCATTCAGACCTGAAGAGCAAACTGGAACTCACCACATAAAACTGGAGGGTATAGAGTGCAGGTCCTCGGGTTTGAAGTCACATAAGAAGGCTAAAGGGATGTCCTCCAAGGCTTTTACTATGTCCTGGTCTAGATGGCCTCCTCCCCGAAGGTAGCAGGCAATCAGGGCAGTCACCTGTGGAAGAAGCCACTAAGGCACCTTGGGGCAGGGAAAGATGCATCCCCTTGTCCAGCCACATGTCCTCTGGGGTAGATGTTACCTGAGCATCCATCTTTTGTCCTTTGGTGACTTTGAGAAGAGTTTTCACTGTCTCTGGTGAGGTCACATTCCACCGGTGGATGTCCTCGGGGCTGATGTATCGGAAGAAGTGACCCAGCTGCTGGATCAGGGACTCCGGATAACCTTGCGGGTAGGTCTACGGAAGAAAGCACAATGAGGGTCAGAGCAACTCCTGGGGCCATTGGAGAAAGAGCCCTGGGCGTGGCAGACAGATAGAAGCCCATTATGAATTACCTTGTCCAGTTTGTGCTTGAAGATGTTGAGCTGCTCATAGGTGAAGGGAATCTCATTCACACGGTCCATCTGGGTGGCCAGCATGGTACCATTCACACAGGCCTCTAGCTCCCAATTCTGGTAGAAGATGAGGTTTTCATCCACATCGTGGGGCTCCATCCCTGGAGGGCAAGCTTTCTCTGGAGGGACGGATGAGAGTCAGAGGCAGCATGCTCCTCTCAACTCTCCCTCCTCCCACAACTACCACAGCACATTGGCCTCAGTTTACCTGCTGACAAAATGGTGTGATTCTATTCACCCTGTGAAGTTACAACTGACCAAGCTGAGGAGCCTGGAGGAGCCACTGGTAGTCGCAAATGAAACTCTACAATGCTAGGCCCTTATCCCTAGTGTCCTGTCTCAGGCTGCTACCAAATAGACATGGCTCTGGACTCACTCTCTGTGTCCCGCCGGAACCTTGGAAGCATGGCAGTCAGCTTAATCCCCAGCCAGGAGGGGCCCCGGGAGATGTGTTGCAGCCATTCAGCTTTGACATCCTGAGGATGGAGCATAGTAGGTTGGGCCTCAAAGTCCAGCAACTTCAATGACAGGCCAGGTAGCAGGGCCTTACCTTGGGGATGCTATGGACGATGGACTCATCCAACACTGCCAGCAGACCCTGCAGGGCATCCAGGGTGGAGACTGACCACTTTGATGGGGGGCTGTCCAGAAACAGAGGACCAGTTCAGGGACCCATAATGTGATCCCAGACAGATCATGGAAAACAGAAACTGGGTCGGACAACGCCTCTGCTGAGAGGTCGAGGAGTGCAGCCTCCTAGGGAACAAGACCTGACAGGATACAGCAGGGGATGCATGGCCCTAGGAAATGCATTCTGGCCATGGATATCCTCCCACATATCTGTCCATATGCTAAGCCGTTCCTACTCACCCATATGGGGATCTTCCACTCCTCAGAGCCTCCCTGACTGCCTCTTCCTGGCCCTTGTTCAGGGGTCCTCGGCAGCCTGCCAGCCAGGGGAGGAGGATTTCCGAAGATCTGATCACAAATTCTCCAGGCAGGTCACAGACCAGGCCTCCGAGAGCCTTCACATCCGCCTCACTCACTTGAAAGTTATGCACGCCCTGCACACAGAGCCAGCTTCAGAACCTTAGGGAAACCACCAGGCCCACTCTGTGCTTTGTCTCTGCCTCTAGTAGACAGTACCATCCCATACCTGGCATTCCAGAGCTCTAGGCAGCAGCCTCTGGCGCTCCAGAGATCTCTGTGGGAGCAAATCTACATTGGCTTTAGAGATGAGGGAGAAGAAGTGGACACAGGCTTGTTGCCCTCGAAACATGGCTGGGCTGTGGAGAGGGGGTGTGTGGATTACTGTGTATGCACACACACACACACACACACACACTCACTCACTCCATTGTGTGCCTCCCTGGCAAAGCCACTCAGTCATTGCACATTGTCGTCCAGGGTGAGGTGGGGGTTGGGGGATGGGAGGTGAGACCAAGTCCCCAGCTTGAGACCTACTTGAGGAAGAGCAGCAGGTCCAGTGGGAGGGCATCCAGTTCCTCACTGGTGAGGTGCTTAGGAAGACGATGTGCCAGACAGTGCAGCTGCCAGGAGACCAGGACAGGAAGCTCAGAATGTTCTGGGCCACAACCCTCAAGGATGGCCTGGGGCACCCCAGTTCTATTCCACCCTACAGGCCACACGCTGTGCCCTGACTATGTCCACACAGCCTGTGGCATGCACATCCCACTGCATCAAGAGCCAGGGACAGGCTCGCCTTGGTCTTGAATCCAGAGAGGCTCATCAGGCTGGCCTCCCTCTCCCCATCCTGACCATGCCACCACTGACCATGTGTTAAGGACAGAGTCTTGAAAGATGTGGCAAGGTCTCCCGGAGAGGGACAGGAAAGTCATCTCAGACTTAAGAAACGGTAGCAGGCCCAGAGGGAAGACATTCAGACACCCATAGAGCTAAGCCCCCGTACAAACACACACCTAGTGGTCAACTTAAGGGGAAAGAGGGACTCTGAGGGGAGCCACCAGTCGGGATGAGATCCTGT